GTAACTCGTCCCTGTGGGCCCTCAGACTCGTGGCTGGAGGGATCGCATATCGGAGCTTGAGGCGGCTCTGGCCCAGGAGAAGGACAGCAGTCGGCAGCTGCTGGCGGACAAAGAGCGGGAGGTGGCGGGGATCCAGGCCCGCATGCAGCAGCAGCTCAACGACTACGAGCAGCTGCTGGACGTCAAGCTGGCCCTGGACATGGAGATCAACGCCTACCGGAAGCTGCTGGAGGGGGAGGAGGAGCGGTGAGGCCCCGCCCCCACACGCCCGGGGCCACGCCCGGGATGTGACCCGTTTGTGACCCGTCTGTTCCCCCCCCCCCAGGCTGAAGCTGTCTCCCAGCCCCTCGTCTCGGGTGACGGTGTCCCGGGCGTCCAGCAGCCGCAGCGTGAGGACGGCGGTGGGGAAGAGGAAGCGCGTGGACGTGGAGGAGCAGGAGGCCAGCAGCTCCGTGTCCATCGCCCACTCCGCCTCCGCCACCGGGCCCGTCTGCATCGACGAGATCGACACCGACGGCAAGTTCATCTGCCTCCACAACAGCGGGGACGAGGTGAGTGGGGTCCTCCAGGGGTTCCCGGGTCCTCCAGGGGTTCCCCACTAATGACTGTGTGTCTCAGGACCAGGCCATGGTGGGCTATGAGATGACCAAGTCCATTGGAAACGCCACCGCCACCTACAAGTTTACACCCAAATATGTGCTCAAGGCCGGCCAGAAAGTCATGGTAAGAGCTGGGTGCTTCTTAGGGGGGTAGGGGTAGGGATTAGGGTTAGGGGGCTAGGGATAGGGTTAGGGGGTTATGGTTAGGGGGATAGGGTTAGGAGTTGGGGCTAGGTTTAGGCTTGGGGTTTCTCCCCGTGGAGCTGAGGTGAGCAGGGTTGGGGTTAGCTGGGTGCTGTGTGATGGGGTTAGGGTTAGCTGTGTGATGGGGTTAGGGTTATTTGGGTGCTGTGTGATGGGGTTAGGGTTAGCTGTGTGATGGGGTTAGGGTTAGGGTTATTTGGGTGCTGTGTGATGGGGTTAGGGTTAGATGTGTGATGGGGTTAGGGTTAGCTGGGTACTGTGTGCTGGGGTTAGGGTTATTTGAGTGCTGTGTGATGGGGTTAGGGTTGGGGTTATTTGGGTGCTGTGTGATGGGGTTAGGG